ATCAATATACAAAAATCAATTGCATTTCTATATACTAGCAATGAACAATCAGAAATTAAAATTTTATAAACAATTCCACTCACAATAGCATCAAAAATATGCAATACTTAGGAATAAATATGACAAAAGATATGAAAGACTTGTACATTGAAAACTACAAAATATTGCTGAGAGAAATTAAAGACCAAATAAATGGAGAGAAAGACTTCATTCGTGAGTCAAAAATCCCAATATTGTTAAGATGTCAATTCTCTCCAAATTCATCTATAGAATTTAATTCAGACCCAATCAAAATCCCAGCAGACCTTTTTTCTGGAAACTAAGGTGATTCTAAAATGTATAAAGTCATGCGCCACATAAGAACGTTTCAGTCAACAACAGACCACATATACCTTGGCGGTCCCATGAGATTAGTACCATATAGCCTGGGTGTGTAGTAGGTTATACCACTTAGGTTTAAGTGAGTACACTCTATGATGTTTGCACAATGACAAAATCGCCTAACGATGCGTTTCTCAGAATGTATCCCCATCATTAAGGGCATAAGGGGAAAAGAAAAAAGTTGTAGAATTTACGCTATCTGGTTTCAAAGATTATTATAAAGCTACACTAAATGAAACTGCATATTATTGGTGTAAAGATGGAAAATACATCAATTAAACAGCATAGAAAGTCCCAAATCCAAACATTTGTGGACAACTCATCTTTGACATAGGCACAAAAAAAAATACAATGGAGAAATATAGTCTTTTCAACAAATGATAATTGGATATTCACATACACAAAAATGAACTTTGACCCATATCTCGCACTACATACAAAAATTGACTCAAAATGGATCAGAAATCTAAATAAATACAAAACCTAAAACCATAAAACTTCTAAAAGAAAACAAGATCTTTGTGACCTTGGATTACACAATATGTCTTAGATATGACACAAAAAGCACGATCCATAAAAGCAGATTGATATGTTTAACTTAATCAAAATTTAGAATTTCTGCTCTTCAAAAGTCACTGTTAAGACAATGAAAAGACAGCCACAGACTGGGAGAAAATGCTTGCAAAGCATATACCTGACATAAGGCTTGTATCTAGAATATATAAAGAGCTCTTACAACTTAATAAGAAGACAACCAACCAAATAATAATGAAATGGGCAAAAGGTTTAAGCAGACACTTCAAAGAAGATATACAAATGGCTAAGGAGGATATGCTCAACATCACTAGTCAAGGAAATCTGGATGAAAACCATAATGAGATTACACTAGACACCTATTACAATGGCTAAAATTAAAAAGACTGACTAGACCAAGTATTAATGAGGATGTGGAACAACTGGAACTCTCCTACACCTCTGGGACTGGTGGGAATGTAAAACAGTACAACCACTTTGGAAAACAGTTTGGAGGTTTTTTAAAAAAGTTAAACATACCTCTACTATACTATCCAGGCATACCACTCCTTGGTATTTACCCAAGATAAAACAAAATATATGCCCATATAAAGACTTGTACACAAATGTTCATAGTGGCTTTATCTGTAGTTGCCCCAAACTGAAAACAACCCGAATGTCCATCAGCCAATGAATGGATAAACCTGTTAGGGTACATTCCTGCAATGGGATATTATTCATCAATGGGAAGGAATGAACTGTTGATACATGCAACAATATGGATGAAGCTCAAAAAAATTTTGTCGAGTGAAAGGAGCCAGATACAAAAGAACTCTTATTATATGATTCCGTGTATGTAAAACTCTAAAAAATGCAAAGTACCCTATAGTGACAAAAAACAGATCAGTGGTTGCTTGAGAACAAGAGGAGCAAGAAGAGACAGGAGAGAGGAACTACAAAGGGACACAAGGAAACTTTGAGAGTGGTGGATATGTTTATTGCCCTGATTGTGGTGATGGTTTCATGGTTTTATATGTATATATGCCACACCTTAGCAGTTTGTACAGTTTAAACATGTCCAGTTTATCGTATGTCAAATATACCTCAAAAGATCTGTTTTTTTTTTTTAAATACACCTAGAAGTAAATAATAAAAAGACAAACAACCCCACGGAAGTGGGCAAGCTATTTGAACAGACACTTTACAAAGGATGATATAGAAATGGCCACTAAGCACATAAAAACATCATACTCTACATGATTAGTCATCAGGGAGAGGATAATTAAAATCACAATGAGTTACCACTTCACACCCACTTAAATGGCTAAAAATAAAGGCTGACGACCCAAAATGTTGAGGAGGATTGGAAAGAAAAGGAACTCTCATACATTTCTGGTAGTATCATAAATTGTACAACCACTTTGGAGAATATTCTGGCAGTTTCTTATAAAACAACTATCTTATGACGTGGCAATTCCCTTTCCAGGTACTTACCCAAGTAAAATGAAAGCAAATGTCTACACAAACTTGTACACGCGTGTTCATAGTAGCTTTATAGCTTTATTTATAATAGTCCAAAATGGAAACAGCCCAGACCATGAACTGGTGAATAAATAATCCAACTCAGATATATCCAGACAATGGAATTTGTTGTTACTGCCTGCAGGTGGATTCCAACTCCTAGTGCCCCTATGGACAGCAGAGTGGAACCCTTCGGGGTGTTTTTGTGCCATCCTTTCATCTTCAGGTGCGATATCAGGCAATGGTCCACTGCTATTCATAGGATTTTCATGGCTAATGTTTTTGGAAGTGGGCAGCCAGGTCCTTCTTCCTAGTCTGTCTTAGTCTGGAAGCTCCACTGAAACCTGTCCACCATGGGTGACCCTGCTGGTATTTGAAATACAGTGGCATAGCTTTCAGCATCACAGCAACACACAGCTGTCACAGTATGACAACCCACAGACAGGTGGTGTGGTTCCCTGACTGGGAAACAAACCTGGGACAGGGCTGGCTAGACAATGGAATGCTACTCCATAATAGAAAGAAAGAAGCAATAACACGTTCAACAACATAGGTAAATCTCAAAATCATCATAGTGAATGAAAAATCCAGACACAAAATAGTACATACTATACAATCCCATTCATACGAAGTTCTCAAATAGGCAAAAGTAATCTATGGTGGAAAAAAATTCGAATAGTGATTGCCTCTGTGTGGGATTGTGGTGGGGACTGAGTAGGAATGGGCACAAGAGAAATTTCTGGGTGATAGTGTTCTGTATCTTGAGTATGCATTTGTCAAAACTCACTGCATGGGACACGTAAGATTTGTGTGTTTCAGTGTATGTAAATTTTAGCACCAAAAAACAAAAAGAACGGTAAACAGGTATGATCTCTAGCTAATAGTATGCATGCTGAAGTATTTGGGGTGAAGTGTTCTGATGTCTGCAACTTTGAAACGGATCAGTAAACTAAGGATGACCACGCAATCAAGCAAGTATAGCATAATGCTAATTATAGAATAGTGGTGATTGGTACATGGGTACAAATCTTTCAGTTGATCTGTATGTTGCAAAGTTTTCATAATAAAATGTGGAGGGAAAATAAGAAAAAATGTCGTTAGCATCAAATGGATAAAATTGTTACAAGAGTATCTAAGAAGTTGGTTATAATCATTATCACTAATAAAACATTAAATGCTTATTAATAAAAAATGAAAAAAGTTGGGGCTGGCCAGGTGGCACAGCGGTTAAGTGCATGCGCTCCACTGTGGCAGCCTAGGGTTCACAGGTTCGGATCCCGGGCGCGCACAGACACACCGCTTGTCAAGCCATGCTGTGGCAGCGTCCCATATAAAGTGGAGGAGGATTGGCAATAGATGTTAGCCCAGGGCCAGTCTTCCTCGGCAAAAAGAGGAGGATTGGCATCGGGTGTTAGCTCAGGGCTAATCTTCCTCACAAAAAAATAAAAAGAAAAGAAAAAAGTTAGACCATGTCCTTCAGACTCAATTTCATTGTCCGGCTTCACCTCTCTGGCGTGGCTCTTTTTTCCTTGGCTTATGGCACTCCAGTGGTAAGATTGGAATATGCCCAATTTGTTCCTGTCACAGGGCGTTTGCACTTGCTTCTTTTTGCCTGGGGATGCTCTTCCTGTCTTCGACAACCTTCACATGGCTGAGTCTTGTCATTCAAGTCTCATCTCAACTGTAGTCTCACTGAAGTCCCCCACCCATCACTGCCAAACATCACCCTAATTGATGTTCTTCACAGTTTGTATCACTCTTATGTGTTGTATGTTGATCTTTGTTTATTACCGTCTTCCTTACAAAACAGAAATCATCAAGAAAGCATCCACAGGCTTAGCACACTGCAGAGCGGCAGCAGCTTCCTAGATTTGTGTTGACTGGCAGCAAATTCATCTGGAACTGGCTGTCACTACCTGCAGCATCGGTCGATCCAAGAATCCTGTTCTTTTTTCTTCGTAGTATGACCTGCTATTTTGAAATTAACTCAAGTGCATCTCCCCTCCATCCCTACCCCCCCCGCACACGCGAGTATACACATACACACACACACACACTCACAGGAGCTCTTGGTGCCAAATGCGCGCACCCTGGGGTCAGGGATGCTGCCTGTTTTGCTCACAGCTGGATTCTCAGTGCCTGGCACAGCAAGGGCTCACAACACCTTTGGTGACTCAGTGAGGCTCTTTGACCCCTCCAGTGGGGACTGACCTTGCTCTGCTTCGCACTCCCTTCTCGTTCCCCCACTCACACCCCAGTCCAGAAGGCGCCCAAGGGGGAGGAGTCCTTTCCATTCCTTCGTTCCCTCCTTCGTGCGTTGGTCGGTTCGTTTGCTCGTTCATTCATTTATTCATTAGTATATTCATTCCACTCCTCCCCCTCCACCCAGGCGTTTGGCCGGTGCGCTCGGCTGCGGGGCGGTCTGGCCTGATCCTCCCCCCGGGCCTCAGTCCCGCCCCCTTCCCGCCCTGCCCCCTCTCCGGGCCAATCGGGGCCGACAGGCCGGGCGGGGCCGGGGCCGGGGCGGGGCCTAGCTCCCCCACTACCTTCCGCGGCCCCCGCGGCTCCGGAAACGCGCCGCGGGGCTGCTGGGTTCAGCCGGCCGCGGGCGGCTCAGTGGCGCTTCCTGCCACGCCGGGCCTGCCTGGGCCACGCCAGCCGAGGGCGGCGGGTCAGCCGCCGCCGGGCCAGGGTGAGCGTGCGGGCCACGGGAGGATGTGCACTGGGCGCAGGAGGGTGTGTGGGGCCGAGGTGATCGTTTGGGCCACGAGAGGATGCGCTGGGGGCTCGGGACAGTGCGCGGGCCGCAGGTGAATGTGCAGGGCCGGGGTGGTCGTTTGGGGTGCGGGAGGATGTGCAGGGGGGCGGCCCAGGAGAGTGTGTAGGGCTGGCGTGAGTGTTCCCCAGAGTGCGGTGAGAGGGCGTCCAAGGCTTGTTGGGGGGCGTCTCTGGGCCCGAGGGAAGCTGCTCGGCCCTGGGGCCAGCTGGAGAGGGAGACGGGTCCTGGATGGCGGGTACGAGGAGGCCCTAAGGCCTTCCCGCGGCAGGCGGGGGGCGGCGGTCAGGGGCGGGAATCGCGAACGTGCAGAGGAGGCCTACGCTGCTTTTGGGGGAACGCTAGGGGGTGGGAACCGGTCAGTATGGGAAGGCGGCGACCCCCACCCCAAGCGCAATGGAGGCCGAGGGGGAGAGGGCGTTGGGGGAGGGGTTAAAGCGCTTTTCATCAGTCTGGGGGAGGGGCTGAGCCGCAGTCAGGGGCGCCAGGTAGGTGAGCTGTGGACGGTTCCTGCCGGTACAGTCCCTGCTTTCCTTTTGGGTCGGGGTCGAGCCTCAGCTTGGCGGGGAGGATTAGCGGGTAGCCTAGAGCCCAAGATCTGTGAGGGAGGGGGAGGGGCAGCTTTTGCTGGGTGAAGACCAGCTCAAGGCCCTCGGTCTCAACAGGGCTTTTTCTGTCACTCTTCTCGGGGCCACCATCTCCTGCTCCAATACCCCCCCCATTAAACTCTTTTTGCTGCCTCCTCTAGTCTATATTTGAGTGATTAATTACATGTCTTTTTCCATCCTGCTCCCAACACGCTCGCCTGCCGCCCAAAGCCCATGGTCCCTTTCAAACACCAACCCCCCCAGTCCTGGCCCTTTTCCCGAAGGTCCCACCCGGTTCCAACTGACACCTTCCAGCCAGCCCACCTTCTAGCCCAGCCATCAGCCCCCTCAGTCTCCTTGGTCAGTGAAACATTTCCTCTTCAATCTCAGACCCAACATTTTTCTTTTACCAAAGGATTTCAGATGGGATTGCTAGAACAGCACCCCCTCTGGGTACTCATGGTGCTCACCCATCCCCCATCCTCCCTCCCCCATTGAGCCTTGAAGTAGAGGCAGCTTGCACAGTGCCTGGCACAGTCCAGTCCATTCCCCAGAAATGTCTTCCGGTGAGAGACCTCTTGGAAAATCACTAGAAAGTGTAAATTCTCTTCCCAGGAGTCTTGACAGTCAGCACAGAGAGTAGGATCCATTCAGGAGGCTCATGGGCTGGAATCCTGTGTGCTGAGCCCTGGAGGTGAGGAAGGCTCCAGATCTTAGACTGGCCCAGTGCTAAGGAGGCACAGCTCTGCATCCTAATTCCCTGAGTGCTGGTTGAAAATGCCCATTCCTTGGCTCCACCCACCCCTGCTGCTCTGCCCTTTGAGCTCTTAGCAAACCCCAAGCCAGAGTTCTGACCCACTGATCCAGCCCTGGCGCTAACCTGTCTGGACTCCCCAAATGGCCCAGGGCCCCTTGAAATTTGCACAGCATCCCCTACCCCCATTTAGAATCTTTCCTATCCAGGGCAGTGTAACCTAAACGAAGCTATACTTACAATTTATTTTTATTTTTAGTAAGATGCCATGCGTCTTCTTGGGGAAATGGGAACATAAACCTTTCCTCAGTTAAGTACAACAAACACTACAAAATCCCCTTCTGGTTTACCTTCTGGCTTTTTATAGAAGGGAGAGAAAATGGAAACCTAAACTGAGAGGGACAGGTGCCCAGGCAGAGTGAGAGAGGAAAACTGGGGAAGACGGAGACAGATGCCTCCCACTCACACACACAGAAAAAGACACACACAGACACAAACATCCCGAGAGAAACAGACTTGCCTGGTGAAACACTCTCTCTTTTGGCCCTTTAGGATTCTGCCACTTCTAGTAGTAGTACGTTTTCACAGTACAGGGTGGGCCAGACAGCTTGAGAGCACGTGAAGGCCAGACCCAGCTCTAGCCCAGGGGCTCGGTTCAGCATCCCAGCATTGCCTGGCTGGGGTGGGTCAGGACCACGGCAGTCTGTGTTCAGTCTCACAGCCTGTCATTTGGTCGAGCACTCAGGGCCCAATAAGGTGCTCCCCAAGTCTGCTTCTGTCTCCCTGAATTATTTCAGTCCACCAGGTGGGACCTTACCTGCCTGACTAATCACTCAGAATTGTTCTGAGACATGGCGAACCATCACTGCGTGTCTCTTTTGGGTAAGTCTCGGTGTTTACAGACCATGTCTCTTGGCCTTAAAGCTAGCCATACTGTTAGAAGGCCCCTTGGGTGAGGATGCAAGACAATGAGAAGTATTGTTTCTGTTCTGGAAGCACTCCTATTTTCATATATGCCAGTGTCACTGAACCGTCTTTGCCCAGAGACGGTTGTTTCAATCTCAGAGACAATAATCAAGGGAGAACAGATATCCAGTAAGGAGAATTGGGAATCTAGACGGTCATTTGGATGAGAGGGAGCTGAAGGCACCCATCTGAGTTAGATGCTGACAAGTGAGGTCTCTTGTGTGACCTATAAAGACACCCTCCGGGGCATTTTTGCTCTGGCCCAGAATCAAACTGAACACCAGGAGCCACCTGTTGTCTTCTGGGGCCTGCGGACATTCTGCTACAGGACCTTATTTTGATGCTCCAGGGAGTCCAGGTGTTTCTGACATCCCTTGGAAGTTTCTGGAAGCTGCCAGATAGATCTAGTTTGGGTGGCCTTGCTGCCTCTCCCCTGCTCCCACTGCCCAGGGAAGGAGCGCACCTGCCGAGGACATTGCCTGGTTATTTGTGCCATGGAATCGGCTTGGAAGCAACCTTTACTAGTAGCCAGACATCCTGAGGAGGCGCCTGAGCTGAAAGGCGACCAGAGGTACCTAATTATTCACTACTTTTTGTGACATGGGTTGGTTTTTGTCTCCATTAAATTCAACTCTTAATTTCTGTTCTTTCAGATCAAAGAGGAATGATTATTTTGGTTCTCTTAATGTTTCTGATTCCATATGGAAAATTCAATTTAAATAAGTTGGTTAAAATTTGCATTGCCATCTAAAGCACATATTAGGAACATGTGTTCACTCACATGAGCTCTCATGTTTTAGAAAACATGATTGTTCAGGTCGTCAGGCAGTGGGTTGGCATTGACCTGATTTCCCTGTGAGGCACTTGGAGTGTCCTGGCGCTAGGCTAGCTCTGGGTGGAATCCACAGTCAGCCTTGCTAGGGCTTTAGCTCTGGGAGCATGCAGTCGTTAGACTGCACTTCAGATCCCATTTAAAGAAGGAAGATAATCGTGTTTATATTAAGAGGTGGAGACTTGTTTTCCCAGAGTCTTTATCCGAACTTCCATTTCCCAGGTGGGTGTGGGAGTGCACCTCCCATGATTCGGGGCATGCTTCCCACGGTGAGTGGAAGTGCCTTATGTTCAAGGGCAGCATCACCCTCTGTATTCATCAGGCGCACCACCATGGTTTTAATATTCTGCCTGGGATTGCTGTGACCTTGATCCCCCAAGGCCCACTTTTGGAAGGCAGTGGACACCTGTATTTGTCACTTTTGTCACAGCGTCCAACTTCTTTTTCAGATTACTTCCACCATTTTAAAGTCGAGCAGTTGTGCGACATGGCTTCTAAGTGATCAGATTGGCTCCGGGATTGATGATCATTTTATTTTTAAGTACAGTGGGGGTTAATGTGTATTATCTTTTTAGATGATCTTCCTTTGCTTCTCCTAAAGCTTTTACCCGATACACTTGGTTAATTATGCAGAGTTTAGCTTCCTTTTGTGAAAGCACGGCTCGCCTTTTCCCTCCCATTTTTATGAGCACTTTCTAAATGATATCTGTGTATCCTTGGGCTCTGTTACTGTGGGCAGTGATCTGAAGTACAGGCAGGTTAAGTCCCCTGGGCAAGTCTGGTATAGGAAGGGCCACTCCTGTTGCTACACTGGGAAGGATAATTAACAATTCACTTGGGGGTTGTGGTTCCAGGATTTCAACAGTTAATCATGCCAATTAAGTAAAAACACTTCGGTAGGATCTGCTCAATTAAATGGAACACTTCGGGAGGATTTGCTCAATTAAGCGTGGGTGGCTTGGAAGAAGTGTGTGTGAGTGTGAGAGAAAGAGAATCATTTGTGTATCTTTTGCACAGCGAGGGTCTGCGATGGCCTGTTAATAGGATGATTTAAAGCCAGTTCCCAAAACCCTTGTATACCATTAGGCTGCGAGGATGCTGATAACTGCCTAGCCTCTGGCTGTGGCCTGGTGTCAAGAGGGCTACATATGATTTCCTTCTCTGTGAAATGGGGGTGGTAATAACTATAGGTTGTAATAATTAAACAAAATTATGTAGAGGGAGAGGCTCAGTGACAACACATAGTAGGTGCTCCATTTAACACGCTCCTTCCCCGCAGTTTATCATGTGCTCACTCAGTGCCAGGAGCTGCCGCAGAGACTGGCGACTCGGGGGTAACCGAGAAAGAGAAGGCCCCTGTCCTGTGGGAGGTGACATTTCTCCCGGGGAGAGTCAGGTAAAAACAAGCAATTTCAGAGGATAATTTGTAGGTAGTGAAAAGTGTTATGAGTAAACTCGAATGGGGCTGGAGAGTGAAGCTGTTTTGAGGAGGTGACACTTGAGTGAGGCCTGAGTTCTTAGAAGGAGCCACCTGTGGCAGGTTCAGAGGGCCTGAGAGGTATCCCTTGGCATATCTAGAACAGAATGAAGACTAGAGTGTCTGAAAGGAATGACTGAGACGTGGGGTGCAGGATATGGGCTTGATGGGGTGGGCCAGGGCCTTGCAGTAGGTTATGGCCTTAGGTCTCTGGCCTGCGGGCAGTGAGGTGAGGTTTGTAACAGGCTATTTTTCTCAGAAGGTGAATGTGAGATGGTCTCCTCTCCATTCCACTTGGCGGCAAGACCTCAATTGGAAGTGAATTTTTTAAAATGAATTGTATAGGTAATCTATGACCAGTTCATTTTGTATTGGAAGCCACAGTCAAACCAGACACCAGATGCATACCAGGAAGAATCTGACTGCTCAGACGGGGCCCTGCCCAGATGACAGTGGGACACAAAGGGCTTGGCTGCTGGGCACCTGAGGCTTCACTCACACACCAGGGAAACACCTGTGCCGGACAGTCTATTAAAGATGGGAATGGGGCTTCCATGGACCTTGGCGCCAAAGGAGGCCTTCTGCTCACACCTGTCCATGGCACTGATAGCTTGGGAGGATGAGCCCAGGAAGTTACAATCCCCTGGTCCTGCTTCTGAGCTTTCTGGGACTGTCCACACATTCCTGCCATCCCTTCTCCCCTGTGCCTGCCTTGCCCATGTGGGTACCTCGGGATGTCACCCAGCTTCGAGGGCCGTTCCCCATTGTCTCCTTGGCCTCAGCCCTGTCCTCTCGCATGCTGAGCATCTTTCTTATCCAAAGTCTACCCAAATCTTCTTAAATTCTTATTCTTTTCTATTACCAAAGAAATGCAACTTGGTTACTAAAAATTCACTTGTTACAGAAACAGCAGAAGACTTTTCTAGACCCCACTGTGGTGCACACTGCAGTATAGGTGTGCTAATTTTAGCTACGAATCACTCAGTTTATTTCTTTTTTCTCCTAAAATGCAAATATATGCTTAGCTATTCTCTCCCCTTCCCCTACCCTCTTTGGATTTTTTTAATAAATAGTTACTGTCTGTCTACATCTTCTATGAAGAATTAGAATTTTTGTAATCTGCTACATGTCATCCTGCATTGGTTACCTGTTGATTTTTTTCATTTTTGTTTCTTTTTCTTTTTTTGATTTTTTTTCTTATTTCTTACCACCTGTTGGTTTTATACTTAAGCACTCCAGTTTTCTTCTTGCTCTGAGTTCTAGGACTCTTTAGTAAGGTCTCCGAGCTCTGAGCCACATTCTTCATTCACCCTCTCCCTCTTGTTTCTATGACATTTGGATTATTTAGACCCTTTCTGTTGGTTATAGTATATTGTTTTCCATCCTTTTATTTTTATCCTATGTCTTTACATTTAAAGTCTTTATATTTAAAGTTTCTTGTAGACAGCATATAATTGAGTCTCGTTTTTTTTAATACAGTCTGATAATCTCTGCCTTTTAATTGGAGTCTTTATTCCATTTACATTTAACTTAATTACCTATATGGTTGAATTTAAATTTTCCATCTTGCTATTTGTTTCTACTTGTCCCATCTTTCCTTTTTCCTTTGTTTCTTTACCTTTCTTCTTTCAAATTATTTTTTTGAGTTGTATTTTATCTCCACTACTGGCTTATTAGCGTGCATTGGAGTCTTGGAGGGCTTCCTAAAATACCCAATATGTTTTACTTCTACATACTGTTATAAACCCCACCCTACCTTATTATTATTTTTGCTTTAAATGTTACTTTTTAAAGATTTAAAAATGAGGGAGGTAAAAGTGTTTTATATTTCCACACGTTTACATTACTGATGTTCTTCATTCTTTTGTGTAGATCCAAGTTTCCATCTGGTATCATTTTCCTTCACCTGAAGAACTTTCTTTAATATGTCTTATAGTACAGGTCTGCTGGTGACAAATTCTCTGAGCTTTTGTTTGTCTGAAAAAGTTTTTATTTTGCCTTCATTTTTGAAGGATATTTTCCCTGAATATAGAATTCTAAGTTGACAGGTTTTTTTTTTCCTTTAGCACTTTAAGAGTGTCATTCAGTTGTTTTCTGATAAGAAGTCAACAGTTATTCTTATCTTTCCTCCTCTATATATAGAATTTTTTTCCTCCTCTGGCTGCTTTAAGATTTTCTCTTTATCGCTGGTTTTCAGCAATTTGATTATGACATCTCTTGGTGTATGTGTATGGTTTTTTGGTTTTGCTTCCTTTTTGTTGAGTCTTGCTACAGGTTGGTTGGGCTTCTTGGCTCTAGTTTTCATCAAATTTGGAAAAAAAATTTCAGCCATTATTTCTTCAACTATATTTTTATCCTCCTCTTTCCTCATCTTCTCAGATTCCAGTTACATGTGTGTTAGACCACTTTGTATTATTCCCAGGTTACTGAGATGGTGTTTCTTAATTTTTTTTTCTTTCTAAGCTTCATTTGGGATAGTTTCTATTGCTGTTTTCTAACCTTTTTTTGGGGAGGTAGTGTCTAATCTGTTAATCACATCCAGTGAAATTTTCATGTTAAACATTATAGTTTTTACCTCCAGAAGTCCCATTTGGTTCTTGTTTATATCATCCATTTTGCTCATTATGTTCCTGGTTTTTTTTTTCAATACTTATACATAGTTAAACTAGCTGTATGTCTGTGAGTTCTATCAGAGATCATTTCTAAGTGTTTCTATTGAGATTATTTTCCCTGCCATGGGTCATATTTTTCTGCTTCTTGGCATTTCAGTAATTTTTTATTGGATGTTGGACATTGTAGAGATTATGTTGTTAAGTGTCTAGATCTTGTTGTTTCACTTTGAAAAGTGTTGGACTTTGTTTTTGGAGGTAGTTATTTGTGGAACAATTTCATCCTTTTGGGGCCTATTTTTAAGCTTTTCTAGAGCAGGTCCAGGGCAGCTGTGGCTCCAGGGATAGATCAGTCCTACTACTAAGGCATGGTCCCTCTGGTTCTCTACTGAATGCCCCACATGATCACTGAGGACTCTCTACTCTGGTTGTTTGGACCCTAAACATCTCCCTACTTTTGTGTGTCCTGGGAATTGTTCAGCTTTCTGCTTCCTGGTTGTTATTTTACCAGTTTGGGGGAGTTTCACTAAATGCATGCATGACTTAGTAGTCAGGAAAGACTCAAAGAGAGCCTTAGGCAGATTTTTTTGGAGCTCTTTTTCTTTTCCCTCCCTTCTGGAACTCTGCTCTGCAATTTCCAGCTGCCTCAGCTTCCCTGAACACTGGTGTGTTTCTTGATGGAGCCATCAAGCTCTGTTTGGGTCTCCCTTTCCTACACTCTCAATCTGGAAATTGCCACCAGGCCGAGAGCTGGGGCAATGATAAGCCTCACCTCATTTGTTTCTCTTCACTCGGGGATCATGGTCCTGCACTGCCTGCTGTCCAATGTCTAAAAACTGTTGTGTCACATCTGTTTTGTCCAGTTTTCTACTTGTTTATGGCCGGACATTAAGTCTGTTCCTTGTTAGTCCATCAAGGCCAGAAGTAGAAGTCTCTATCCATCCCTTTTAACATAACATCTAATTTTATGTAAAAGTCTTTGTAGAGTATCTGGGTTTTGTACTCCTTGAGCTAGTGTAAAATGCTTTCTTTTCATTTAATTATGAATTTAATTTAATTGACCTCGCATAAGAACAGAATCTGTGTTCCTCTTTCTTTGAACTCACTGAAGTGGGAGGCCTATGATGCACACATGTCTGTGGTAGGATCTTATATTCTGCAATCTGGAAGGAAAAGGTAACTTGTACATATTGTTCAGATCTTTTATTTAGCAATTTAGTGTTTGAAGATCTTTTTTTGAGGCTTCTTTTTCCAGCTGTTTTATTCAACTTTTCATTTTGTCAAATATATAACAGAAATGTTCTTGTCTATAGCAGTCTCACTGTCACCTGGCAAATTGTTTCAGTGGGGTGGGGTGTGGCCTTTAAAGGGCCTTGCTGCTGGTCAAGAAGCCCCGGCTCCTGCTCTTTGTTGCCTCTCTTCCCTCTAGTGCCCCAATCTGGTTTTTTGTTGCCCCTACAAAGTTGGACAGGATCTCTCACTTCCTAGTTATTTCTTCTGATATTCTTTTTTTTTTTGAGGAGGGTTGGCCATGAGCTAACACCTGCTGCCAATCTTCCTCTTTCTTTTTTCTTCCCCAAAGCCCCAGTACATAGTTGTGTGTCATAGTTGTAAAGTTGTAGCTCTTCTACGTGGGATGCTGCCTCAGCATGGCTTAATGAGTAGTGAGTAGGTCCACGCCCAGGATCCGAACCTACAAACCCCAGGCCACCAAAGCGGAATGCGCACAGTCAACCACTATGCCACCGGGCTGGCCCTCTTCTGATATTCTTTTGTGGACACTTCCTTCTTCTGCAGTGTGAGCATTGACCTCTCTGAGGCTGGCTGCTAGGAGGCCTGTGGCCAGCCTGTCTCTGAGAGACAGTCTCCGTGCCATCAGCTCTCCATCTGTGTCTGTCTTCGCTGAGCTGTGCCTGGGCTAACATTCATTTTTCTTGTCTGGGCTCCCTCTGGCCTGGCTGTGTTAATTCTTTGCCAGCCCAATTTCCTCACTGTTTAGGGTATGTTTTCTTAGGCATACTCATGCTCTGGCTTGTCACTTAGCTGCTGTGCAAGAGAAGACTCAACACAATTTAAAACCTCCGAAAAGAAAATCACAAGTCTCATCCCAGGGGACCCAGAGACAGAGCTGCTGTCACTCACGGCTCTTTTCACTTTCCTTAGCTCCACCTGCCCCCCAGGGTCTTACCCTTCCCCAGGATGGAGCCCCAGGAAACCAGGTGCTGGCAGGCCCTCTTGAGATGCTGGAGGCCCAGGTGAGCTGTGCTTCCCTCTGCCTGGCTTGGGAATCTGTCACTGCTCCCCAATTCAGGCCTCAGCCTCTGCCTCTTGCCCCAGCATGACACACGGCAGGGCCCCAGCTGCTGCCTTCCCTCCTTTCCTCTGCTTCTGTCTCCAGAGTCTGCCAAAAAATGGATGCCCACTAGGCTGGTAATTCCCATCATACCAGTGGGGGAGCTGAGTTTCAATCCAGGAAAGTGATTGAAATGAGGTCCCTTGGGAAGACAGTAGGAGGCCAGGACCACGACCCAGGTCTTCTGGTGCTTGGTCAGGTTGTCTTTCCAGGACTTCTTGAGGCTTGTAGTTAGATATCCATGTTAGCAGTGCACACCCACTCCAGACTCTCACCTTTTATCCTTGGTGTTATTGGCGCTGCCCCTGCCTCATTCTAGAATAGATGGAAGGACTGATTATCCCTGGGAATTCTTTCAGGATTGGGTGACATTTGACAACGTGGCACAGTACCTCACAAAAAGGGAGTGGTTGAGGCTGGACCTTGAGCAGAGGACACTGGCATATTACAGGAACGTGACCTCCGTGGGTAAGGATGCCCCTAGCCCTTCCATCAGCTTTGCCTTCAGCTTCATGGTACTACGCAGATGGGAATGGGATGAGGGGCACCTAGTATAGCCCTACACAAGCTCACCTTCCAGGGGCTTGTGCCCCCTGGGGATGGACTGTAAGGAAATACAAAGGGTCTGCCACAACCAGCATCTCAAAGTAGCAGGGCTCCCTTCCAACTCCTAATGGCATGGAAAGAATCCCCTCAGTCTTTTATTGGGCTGCACATGTGAGGTTTGGAGGGTTCTTAGGAAGAGACTGCTGGGGGTCAGGTTTGGGAAATGTAGAAGAGCACGAAGTTCAGTGTGCAGGCCTTGAGGTGGGTGGATCAGGAGAAAGGGAGGATCAGCTCCTCAGGACGACCACATGGCACTCCACCCAGGTGGGCCCAGAGCCTGCCTCATCCAGCCCCTGGAAGGAGCTGGCCCTTGGGAAAGACATTTGAAATTGATACATGACTTGCCTAAGGTCACAGCCAAGCCAGCCTTTGAGGTTTGAAAGGGTTTCCCCTTTGAAGGTCCTACCCTGTTCCTGCCGTGTTCTCATGTCATCTCTGGCTGCTGCCATAACCTGTCTCCTTTTCCACAAGCAGGAGTTCCTATTTTGAATCCTGCCTTGGTCTCTCGCCTGCTGTTGGTATGAAACCCATCCCATAACGTGGACTGAACTAAGCATTCTGGTGAGTGAAAAAGAAATCTGAAGAAATGTGAGGAAATCATGGGGGAGGCCTTTGGGAGTGGGTGTGGCTGCTCCTTAACCACAGAAGGGGAGACCTTTTCAGGACCACTTTGGTAGGGAGCGTCCAGCAGTCAGGCCCTTCTGGCCCTTCCCTCTATGGTCCTGGCTTCTGGTTGGATGAGCACCAGCCATCCTGCCTGGGTGGCCTCCAGGCCCAGTGCTCAGCAGCTATCTCAGGAGGAAAACAACTCTTGACAAAGGAGAATAACCTCCTTCCATCCTGCTCTGCAGACTGCAGTGTCTTATGGTTCTCATTTCAGAAAGCATCTCGGTGACCCAGCGTCAGACCATGGGTGAAGACGCCCAGCCACAGGAGATGGCATCCACAAGCTCCCCAAGAGCCAGTGAGCCAAGCCCTGAGGTCAAACAGAATGGGGACTCTGAGGGGAGTGGGGGGAACCCCCAGAATCTGCCTGTAGAACATCACTTTGCATGTAAAGAGTGTGGAGACACCTTTCGGCTTAAGGTCCTCCTTGTGCAGCACCAGAGAATTCACAGCGAGGAGAAGGGCTGGGAGTGTGGCGATTGTGGGAAGGTCTTCAGGGGGGTCTCTGAGTTCAACGAGCACCGGAAGAGCCATGTGGCTGCAGAGCCGCGGCCTGGCCCAAGCCGGGCCGTTGATGATGCCATCGAGAAGAGGGAGCAAATGGAGAGGGAGGCAAAGCCCTTCGAATGTGAGGAATGCGGGAAAAGGTTTAAGAAGAACGCAGGCCTCAGTCAGCATCTGCGCGTGCACAGCAGAGAAAAGCCCTTTGACTGTGAGGAATGTGGCCGATCCTTCAAAGTGAACACTCACCTCTTTCGACATCAGAAGCTTCACACTTCGGAGAAGCCCTTTGCCTGCAAGGCGTGTAGCAGGGATTTCCTGGATCGCCAGGAACTTCTCAAGCACCAGCGAATGCACACTGGCCACCTGCCCTTCGACTGTGACGACTGCGGCAAGTCCTTCCGAGGGGTGAACGGCCTGGCGGAGCACCAGCGCATCCACAGCGGGGCCAAGCCCTACGGGTGTCCCCACTGTGGCAAGCTCTTCCGGAGGAGCTCAGAGCTCACCAAGCATCGGCGGATCCACACAGGCGAGAAGCCCTATGAGTGCAGCCAGTGCGGGAAGGCCTTCCGGCAGAGCTCCAGCCTCCTGGAGCACCAGCGCATCCACACTGGGGAGCGGCCCTACGCCTGTGGCGACTGCGGCAAGGCCTTCCGGGGGCCCTCCGACCTGATTAAACACCGGCGCATTCACAGTGGACTGAAACCCTATGAGTGTGACAAATGCGGGAAAGCCTTCCGGAGGAGTTCTGGCCTGAGTCGCCATCGGAGGACCCACAGTGGAGCAAGACGCTGCGAGTGCAGTGAGTGTGGCCGCGTGTTCAAGAGGCAGTCAGCACTGCAGAAGCATCAGCCAACCCACCAGGAGTAGATGAGGCTTGCAACCCCTCAGCTGTCAGCGGATTCCTGTGGGGGACCTGCATCCCTAGAGGGGGATGGCAGAGTCAAAGGAGGTGAACAGTTTTGTAGCACTTATATATTTTGTCGTCAGAAAGGTTGAAACCAATTTATACTGCCACCAGCAATTTATAAGTGTACATGTTTCCCATTTTGCCTATGGAGAGTAGATTTTACCATATTAATTTATTTTGGCTAGTTTAAATGGCATAAAGTAACTTCAAGGTACTTAAATCCACAGGCCTTGAATCTGAGCATTAGAGAAGAGAGACCTGGATGTGGGGGTGTCGAGGGGGCTTGTTGGTCCTCTCCTCCAAACTCCTCCCCCCTCAGGGAAACTAAGACACAGAGCTATTCAATGATGGCATCAATATAATGTGATCCCAGCTTTCCCGAAGAGCAACTCGCCTCAAAGTTTGTAGACCTACTTGAATTTATAAATTTTTAGGGATGTAAATAGAATACTCAAATGTCTTATAATATTTAATTTATTAATTTAGTTATACATAAGTATTGTAAATCACATATTATATAGAATAATATATTAATTTAGAAAATACTCCTTTTTTCCCTTGCTCTGTTCCATGAGATCATTATATTCTAACTCCTCATGTTCATTTCTGACCTCACTGTCTTCACCAACCTCAGAGCCCCTTTTGAGCCATCAGACAATTTCAAAGCACATCCAGTGGCTTCCATCCATCTGAACTGTGTGCCATGTAGCACTGTGACACTCCCCGCACAAGACTCACTAGAAATTTCGTCCCAAGCTGTAACTACATGTTCACGTAATGTTATGACGATTGTGGTTGTTTTCTAATTTTCCCCATAGCTCTACAACATAACCACTTAAGGTGTTGCTTTTTTAAATGACCTTTAAAAGACTTTTTCTAAGCATCTAAAATTTGTCATTGTGAGGTCGTATTCCTAGGAATAAGTACTAAATCTGGGTTAAATTACTTTTGCGCCTTTTTTTCTTAAATCAATTCAATCTGGTGACTCCCATGCATATCTAAAACTAGCTTCGATTGGGCTTTGTTTCATGCGTCTTGTCTTCAAGCAGCACGATTTTGTTCAAAATACAGTAGTGGAGAGAGCATCCCCGTAATAACAGGGACATTTCAAGGACTCAAGTGTAAGATGGCGCCTCCTTTGCCAGAACGATAGCTTTTCCTCATGTGGGGCCTAGATGGTACTTCTCCAACCCTCCATTCTCAGCTCTGTAAGACGGGGGTGATCACAGGACTACCTCCTACGGTTATCATGAGGACTGGAACGCCACACCTGGCACGGAGGGACACACTCAGTAAAGGTCATCTGCTGTTACCGTCGTAGTTATTGCTGTCATTCTATGGCTCGTTAGTACCAGAACTGGGGATGGACCCAGCACTCCTGACTCCTAGTCTCATCTTCTTTCTTTCCTGCAATGACTGAAATACTGTTTCCGTTTCCTTGTGTGCAAATAGTACGTTCATCTCCTTTGACCAGTTGTCAAGTTACCTTTCGAGATATTGAGTTTATACAGCAGTTCTTTCCATATCAATTGTGATGATCTCTTTTCCAATGTTATTGCTTTGCTCTTTGTAGCAGTTTTATTACATTTTTGTTGTGCAAGCATTTAGTTTTTATGTATCCAAGCACTCATTGTCCATTAAGTCATAACTGTTATTGCTGCAGTAGTTAGATATGACATTTTCTTCTAGAGTTTTAATTACAAATGAAAAGTTGAAAGCCCTGCCCCACCAGAAGGTGGATGTACCAGATGGGCAGGCTGGATGGGAATGGGCCGGAGAAGCAGGCTCGCTCCTCATCCAAGATGCAGACTCCGTGCATGTCTGTGGGCAATACTTGACTATCCAACCTGGCCACTCAGGCACACGAGAGAAACTTCCATCACGGATTGGCCAGAACACTCTGACTGTTCCTCAGTATAGCCCTAGCCATCAGCAATGGGGCCAGGCCCCACCTAGATCAATGGGATGGTCCAAACTTGGTCTTGGAAGGCCAGCCACCCTTCCAGCTCATGGGAGCCTTGGCCATGCCCGGCATGGATTCAGTGCCTCAGCAGCAGATCCACCCAAGAGACGTCTCTTCAAACACAAGAAGACTTACCTGACTGACGCTGTCACATGGATCACATCCTCCTCCTAGCAAGTGACTCCGGAACTACAAAGAGGTCAGTTTGGTGGCTTCTGCTTTTGGCAACTAAGGGGAGATTCACCCACGTGTTCTAACATCACCTCCCTCATCCACACCTAATAGGGGTGACAGAGCAAAGGCTCGGAGAGGAACCGTGCCTCCCTCTGATGGCCTGTGTGTCATGGTGATACAAGCTGGCCACACCAGGCCTGGGCTGTGACTTGCGGCAGCTGTGCCCGGGAGGGACAATAAAACAAGGGTTTGGAGGGCCACAATGCCCTTCTGTGGCCCAAGTGGCACAGAAATAGAAGCTGGTCCTCCTGGGGCTGGGCTATCACTTCCAGCAGCCTCTCCCAGGAGGACCAGCAGAAAAGGCTGGCCAGGAACCTGGCCCCTCCAGTGGCCTGCAGAGTGGGCAGGTAGAAGCTGGCCATGCTGGGGCTGTGGTGTGACTTCCTGGCAGCTGTGCCAGGGGGACACTAGAGGGCCTGGAGAGGACGTGTGCCTCTCTGATGGGCCCACTGAGGCGGAGGTGGAACTCCCCAGCGGGCAGAGCTAGAAGAGCTTCTCAGGCCCCCATCCTGGGAAGCAGGGTCCCACAGTGACCCCTGTGGTCTTAGCCAGAAAGTACTCTGGAACGGCCCCCAGGCCACGCCAGTGGCTCTCTGTGACATCTCCATCCTGATGCCCAGGCTGGAGAAAAGCCAACAGCACTTGTTACATAGCGATTCCTTTTGCTCTGTGGCTTCAGTTCTCTCAGTAGTTGTGAATCTGTGTCTGAAATCACTACTTCCTTCTCGCATCAGTTTTCTCTTTTCAAACTGTTGTGATGTGTTTAATGCAACTGTCATTGGGTAAGGAATGTTGACATCCATGGGGGGCAAGTCTGGCACCTTTACATGGAAGTACTTGCCCGTTCACTAGTCATTTGTTGGGTTTTATGAAGGATCCAGATGCAGTATTAACTTGGAACTTCGTGTCATCGTCGTCACTGCTCCATCTCCCCCCAGCCAGGGCACGATGTCTTGGCATCCCGTCATACCCTCCATTCTTGGTTCTATAATTTTCTCTCAAACAAACCCTCTTCTAGAGTTAACACTAAAGACCACGTCTTTTCCGTCACTGTGTTTGCGGGTGAAGTCCGTGCTCTCTCCAAACGCGAGCAGTCTGTGGCTTTACCATGTGTCCTGTAGTTGCGCCAAGTTTGGTGTTTGCCTCTGGTAACTTGGGGGTGGGTTTCCTTGCATTCTCTAGGTACACTGCTACATCAATGCAAAATGTGATCAAGCTTCCTGTTGTGTGTGCTTGTCTGTGCATTCGTGTATCTACCTCACTTCATTTTTCTTTCTAATCACACATAGTCCTTTTGCACCGGAAATGAAGAGCAGTTGGGTTACATAGAATGCTGGCTCTCATTAGAAATACATCCTCTTCTTATATTCTGAAAGAAACCATCCATTGCTTTTATTAAAGCTTTGAATACTTGCTGAAATTTTCAAAAGAAAGTGTTTACCATTTTTGCTGCTTAGGAAGATTAACTGTGTTGATTCGTTGTGTCATACCCACTCTTGCGTTTCCACAATGAGCCCCCCCGATCGCAGGGGGCAGCTTTGTCACGTGGTGTTGCACTCCATGTGCCCTGGGCTTCAGCCCTGTTGTGTGCCATGTGACCCCCCCCCTTCCAGACCACATTCATTAAACCAGAACTGAACACCTGACTCAAGGGCAGCAACCGGTCATCAGAGCTGGCTGGAGACAATGGGCCAGGCCTTTCAGGTTCTCCATCTGTGAAGTGCCGACAAGGAAACTGAGAGAGAAGATTCTAGTTGGTGTTGGAAGAAAGAGGGAGCCGCACGGTATTTAGCGGAGTTTCCCCCATGGGCAGCACTGGCTTGAAGGTCTATGGGCTCCTGCTAGGTGCCCCAGAGCTGCCTCAGTCCCAGCACCCCGAGGAGGCCTGACCCCATTATGTTCTTGGATTTCTGGCGACTGCCCTCATGGGTCCGTTTGTATCCCCACCGTAGACTCCCTTGACTTGAGCCAACTTAAGTGGGTCTCTGGTTTTGGCAATCTGTCAAGAGCCAATTGCATTTTACCATATGGCTGCTTCCTGAGAAGAATCACGTGGCTGGTTTTTCTCAGGTTCTACCCAGCCCACGCTCCCAGCACGAGCCCTACCGACTCTCGTAAACACCTGTTTAAATGTGGTACTGTGTTCTGTTCACTAAGATGGGTAAAAATCTCTGCCTTCTAGTTTCTGTGAGTTTGACCACTGATTTTCTGTCTGGATATTGTTCCTGTACTGACCCCATGATTGTCCCATGAAATGCGTTAACTCACCCCCCACCCTCTTCTTTATTTTGGAAGCATCTCGCTACTTCAGCAAATCTGTCAGATTGAGGAATGATAACCTCTCTCTTACCAGCATATTCACATTCTGTAGTTCTCATTGCATCAGTTTGGGTGTTACTTTCAAAAGTAGAAATGGTCTCTTTAAACCTGGCCTTGGATGTTATTTGCATATCTGAGAACGGTAGCAATGTCCCGCCCCAGTTCGTATTTCTGTTGTTGGCGCTCTTTTCTAGTTCCTCTCAATCTCCTTAACTTGTCTGTTATATGGCACTTACTATAATCAGCCTTGCACTAGAGCTTCGCCCTCCCCACCCTCACCCAGCCATTAGATTGTGAGCTCTGAGAAGACAGCGTGGCCCTTCATGTCTGATTCCCCTGCCAGACCTAGCACAGTGCCTTGCATCAAGTAGATTTCAATAAATATATGTTAAATGGCATTGGTCTTCCTTGACTTATTTTGTCAAAGCTTAATTTATCAATTCTTCCCTTGCTCCTTTCTCCACACTCTGGAGTTCTGCCTCTTCCTGGGATCCAGATGCTGTCTTGGCCCCCACTTGCTGGACACTTGGAGCGGAGAGGAGGCACCCTGATGAGGAAGGGCTGGTTTTCCTGGAAGTTTGAGCTGTCCCTTGGCATAAGGAGCCTGTCATTCAGCCAAGTACCTTCCCCGACCCTGGCTAGGGCTCTCCCCAGTCTGAATTCCAGATGGGAGCAGACAACCAGGCTGGACTCTGAGCTATTCCCCTAGGGACCGGGAATGGTGTGACAGAAGTGGCCTCTGGGACTTGAGAATCTGCCAGCCTCTCTGGGCTAGGTGGGGGTGGGAGTGGGTAGGTCAGTCC